AGAAAAATTTTGAAAAACTAACATCAGATTCGAGTTCCTCGACCCCGATTACCCTTCGATCAAGCCTTATAGAAAAAATTCCCTTTATATCTTTATCTCATTCTTCGACTAATCAGTGAAGTGCGGACATACAAGCAATCAGACAATTTATGTTTGCAAGACTCTTCTCTACGAGAAAGAGAATAAGAATCAGATATAACATATAAAATTGAAATTTTATTCTGACAAAAAAATGGGAAATATCAAGTAATTCATCAACACATCTCACGTTATTCAGTCAAAGTTTATGTTGAAATGAGTTAAAACAAACTAAGATTTTCATTCAGACTAATTCAACAATGTTTAATGGGCGAACTTTCTTTAGTTCACCGTTCTTAATCATTACAGAAACCACCATTATCTATCATAATTATACTATTTCTATCGAATAAACCTATATTTTTTTCCAATAAGTACAACATATATGATGATTATCGATTTGAATAATTTGCCTGATGAAGTGCTTTTCTATTCACATGATGTATTTTACAAATTTATCGAAAGTTGTTTAGGTGTCGATGAGATGAACTTATTGAAGTTGCAATCAATAAAAAACATTAGAACACTTTCAAATGTATCAGATGTTTTTGCTATATTTAGTGTTAATTGCAAAGAACTTGCTGATCTTAAAAATCGTATTTGTTTCGTCGATGAAGATGATAATAACAGCATTATTATTAAAGCAGGAATTAAAGCTGGCATTGATAATTTAATAGCAACACTTAGAGAGAAGAACAACAAGTATATTAAACGAACAAAAAACTTCAAATCATCATCATGATCTTCTATCATAAATCATAATAATTCGAATACATATTTGACAAATACACCGATTTCTGATTCCGTCGATTCATCGTTAACATCAACACCAACACCAACACCTATTTTATTGACAATCAATTATTACATCAACTTGATTTCCGATAGCATCGAAAAATTTTCTATTAATACTTTTACAAATATTATTTTAAAAAATAACGAGGATTATGTCATATGTTTAACTTCATCACTTACGAACGTAAATGGACGCACAAAATTTGGTTGTAATACAATACTTAAACTTCGTTTTGGTTCATATAGTCATTCATTTCAACTATCTGTGTATTTTAAGCATTTAAAGGTTAGTCGTTGTTCCATGATAAAAAAAAAGAAGCAAGTACTAGTTGAAAATTTAAAAAAAGAAAAATAATTCATCAAATGATTTGTTGCAAAATAACAATCTTTATGATATGAACGATAACAATGATTATGACGAAAAATGCTTGAATGATGACAATGATCTTTCTCAAATTACAACTAACACTTCAATCTCAAGCAACTCCAGTTCTTTTAGCGAAAAACGACCAACATCATCATCCACTAAGTCCAAAAAGAAACAAAAGCATTTGTA